CTGCCATGCTCTTTCCCCACAGGAGCTCTAGGTGAGCCTGGCACTCTCCTTTTATGTTTAATGGTTGTTATTGTTTTTGTTGTTCTTTCTATTTGTCACATGTTTAATTTGAATTGTATGTAAATAAAGGTTAGGTGTATTTACTCTGCTTTTGTTTGATATAATTAAACCATACATCCCCTCTACAAAGTTAGTAGCCAGTGCCTATTGGTCAATATAAAAATAGATACACACAACGTAGGTATTCCTTATGACGATCACATGTTTTTGGCCACAACTACGTTTACTTATTTTTTATCGAACCTAGGGTTGTTATACTACAGTATTATCGACAAGATAAATTAAAATAAGTCAAAAATGTTAAAGCTTCCCTGTACCTAAATCTAACCGTTTTCGAGATGTTCGTCATTTTACACAAAATTTGTAGATGCAGGCGTTTCGAAAATTTCTTATATCTTTCTATATACAAGGTATCCCAAAAGTATGGATACCCCAGAATAACTCGGAAGTAAAGGGCTATACGGAAAAACCGAGGGAAAAACGTTTCATACAAAAGTTTCAGGATTTTTTCCGGGCTGTTCAATGATGACCTTGACAACAATATGAAGAGATAAATTTATTTTAGAGATCCTTTTTGAATTTTTAGCGATTTTTCCTTTGAGCAGAGATTGCTGTCCTTATCAACGATATTAGATTGTTTACTAGATATTGAAAGCACATCGATTGTTTTTTTTGTGGTAGGTATCGGACGGGAGGGTATCGGAACTATGAACCAGTAGCGCACCCAAAAAAAAAAAATTAAAGTTATTTAGAATGGTTAGCTGTGTATTTACTAAATAGTACTGTATATACCCGTGAGAACTGTCCGAATATTAATTTATGGATACATTTACTTATCCATTAGTCATTTTCTGTGGTATAGCTGTTGTCTGCCCCTGTTCTCTTCCCTGGGAAACAAATAACAAATGTTTGTAAATATAAGGTCGATAGTTCTTATTATTTAAAAATATACGCTTATTTACGCAGGATCACAATCATCTCTATTTGAATCCGGACCCCCGATTTTTTCTGATTGTGCTACTGCATGATTTAGCCTCATATTTTTGTGTTCACCAGGAAATGAATGCATTATTCGTTTCTAATTACCTCGCGATGTAAAATAAAGAACGGTGCGAAGTGGCGAACGAGTTTCTCGATGGCCGGACCGCATAGAAAAGGCGCACATTTAGAAAGTGCACCCAATACGCGCGGCCGCTTGAACTCGTCAGAGTCAAGGCTACATTTTCACCAGGGTGGACCTTGCCCATCGCTGGTCAGCAGTGTGACCATCTCAAGGTCGGACCACCGCTCCTGCTGTTCCATCGGTGTTGCCGATTTTCATGAAATACGTAAATGAATTTATTGTAGGGCTTTTCACAGTATATAATTTCATAGCAACATTTGTTTTTGTAGATGAAGTAGCAATTGATGTGCAATTATAAGCGGTTCTAAAGAAGGAGGAGTATCCCGCTGCTTGGGCTTTAAGTTCAAGGTTACTGACTTTGTAAAGAAAGAACGATAAACTAAAAAACAAAATTAAGTGATTTAAATTCACTTGATTTTAGTAATGAAGAAGAAATTATCATATTCAGAATGGAAATAGAATGCAAGAAAATAATGAACTGGATCAAATAAATGAATACTTAATTGAAAGAAAACGTTGCAATAATAGGATTTCTATATACAACTGCGTTGTATGCTTTCGGGTTTAATATCACTCTTCGAAATGTTTTCGCGATTATTTCTTACCAGATTGGAAAGAACGCGGACAGAATCAACAACAGCGCATGCATCATGGTCAACTGCCCTGCGTTACCCGCAATAAGCTGTTTCACTGGTCCGGTCCCCGACCTGATTGACCCTTCCGCTCGGGGATAGGAAACGGACGTTCACACTAATCCCGGAGCCCGCAGCAGGACACTGCACACTTAACAACAATGACGTAACTGTAGACGTGCGAATGGCGAATCACACCATATTTAAAATCCAAGCGACAGACGAAAAAAACACCCCGTGCCCACAGTATAGGTTCTTTTCCAATTCGGGCGATGTTATTAACTTTTGCTTGTTATAACTATTGGAATGGCCATATAATGAATTATTTACTTTACAAACCTGATTGTTTTAGCATTTATTCCCTCGAGGATTCTCAAATAAGCCTGATATTCTAGCAACAGGTATAAAAGTTTCGTCATAATCAATTAAATATTTTCCAGTAAAATTTTTAGCAACTAAACGGACTTTATATTTCAATTGTTTTCCATATTCATCATTTTTAATTGTAAGTACCCATTTGCAATCAACAATGGTTTTATCTACTAGACGGGGTAATAGAGACCACATAATATCATTACATAAGTGGTTCTATCTTGTGGTTTATTGACATATCAGTTTTGTTTGTACAGGTATACCTATTGTTGAGGAATGATTACCAAATTCTCTCTCTCTCTCGCTCGGTCTGTGTAAAAGCTCCTAAATAGTCTTCTCTGTTAATCCCGTTCGTGGATCAGGGTGGTTTTGTTTGAATTAAAAAATTATTAATTAATATCTCGTTCAGCAAAAATACCTTTAGGTTTGTTGTTCTTCATATAACATTGTAATTGTGTATATGAGGTAGAATAAACCTCTGCGTTTTGTTTGAGTTTGAAGTAAACTCAAGATCATCTACCATACAAACAAAGTTACAGTCCACAAAACACCGAAGGATTTACGAAAGGAACCGGCCATAGGGACATAGTGGTTCCCCAAATACTTATTGCTCGTTTAATTTTAAAATCCTCAAAAAGTACGAAGATTATTTCATAAATACGTATGTATATTTTATTATTTTATTAGCTCACATCTTTTTATTCTTTTTTGAGGTATTAAGCTAAATCAAACAAATCCTATCAAATGAAGTCTATTAATTATTAATTAGACAAGCCGACAAAATAAAAAAATCGTGTGTTTTTGAAATGTGACCCCTACCTATCTGTAGTAAAATTTGCCGCTGACAAAAGAAAATTTTCTGACTTATGGATTCTTCCCTACCTACACACCCTCAAAAATTCAAAATACGGATGAATAGAGGGATTACTCATGTCCAAACAATTTTCGGAATCGGCGAATTTTACTAAAGACAGGTAGGTTGGATGGCCAGTTTGGATTTTTTGAATTATTGGAGAGAATTGAGGGTGTGTGGGGGAGAATCCATAAATCAGAAATTTTTCTTTTTATTATCTAAAGATAGGTGGGTTGGATGGTTAGTTTGGATTTTTTTAATTTTTGAGGGGAATTGAGGGTGTGTGGGGGACAAAAATTTTTCTTTTATCATTTTCGCATTCACTGGAAAATTTTACTAAAGATAGGTGGGTTGGACGGTTAGTTTGGATTTTTTTAATTTTTGGGGAGAATTGAGGGTGTGTGGGGAAGAATCCATAGGCCAGATTTTTTTTTATCGTTTTCGGATCACACCATTTTTTTTGTCGGCCTGTGTTATTTAAACATTTTAATTTATTTCGAATAACTATTTTTTAATAAATGTGTATTCAGTTGTAGTGTGCTGTGGTGTAATAAAATATTATTCAGGATATAACAGAATGTATCAAATATAAGGAATGTTTTCTCCGCCCAAATTTATAAATATATATTTGCTTATACAGTTGTGTTTTACTTTAATATGTATTTGATTTGTTTATTGGCGGTCTTTGTGCCCTTAATGTGTAGTCTCGTTCAAAATCAAATTCTAATGTTATCAAAACTGCATATTTATTTTCCAATATTGTGTGCTGACATACAAACAATCTGAGTAAAGTAGGTGCTGTAATAATAACTATGGATAGTAGAATATTTTCTGTTTATAATCAATTACTCCCCATTTGTGTAACAGTCTGAGGATTTAAGTGGCTTTGTAACAATCAATAAAATGAAAGCTACATAATAATAACATATAATAGGTACCTACACAGTTTTTTTAGCAACAAATTGATCGAAAATTTTAAATTAAAAGTAATTTTCCATTTAAACATATTTTAGAAGAACAATTTCATTATAATTTTAATAATTGAGCAGTTTACTCTTGCATTTAATCAAAGAATAAAAAACACACCAAAGAAATGAGACAACCCCCAGATCCAAAGTCAAGGGCTGTGCGGAAGGGGATTATACTTGAAAAAACGCGGACAAACACCCATTACCCATCGACATTGCCAGTGCCGACGCCAGGGATCGAACCCGGACCAGAATAGGAAGTCTGACCGAGAAATGCTTACCACCGCATGCTCGACCGACTACGTCTATTTACCGTGGTGAAAATAAGTCGGCTAATTCTGCTGATATTGTGTATCTTGTAAAAATATATCAATGTCCACAGTTTTTTTAAGAAAATATTACCCGATTCCCTTATTGGCACTACTTTATTCTTACCGGTTATTCGTTTTTTTTTTTCAGGAGATACCTACCTACATACTATTAACACCCCCATTTTTAAGAAACAGGGTGATAAAGTTTTCAGAGAAGTATCGTATCTACAAATTTAATGACTAATAATTTCTTATGAATCTCATTCATGGCTCTTTTGCATAAATTAAATGTCTGATTGGTAGATTTTTGTTAAGAATATGCTTGTTTTTTAATAACAAATGTATCGCAATTTGCAAAAGAATAGGTACCTAATTACAAAGTTTGTACACGAGTGTTTGTTACAGATTATAAATTCTGTACAGATGTACGAATTAATTCTTCAGGAATAAAAAATACTCTTTATTAAATCAACTTTACAAAAGATGACAGATTATCTCAATATCAATAACAACATATTTTTTTTCATAGAAACAGCATCAATCAGCCATCTTGACAAAACATAAAAATAAACTTAATTTCTAGCACTCAGTGGTTTAGTTACTCTTACACAACTTACATAATATAATATAATGTAATATAATACAATATAATATAATAGTAATAAATCATATTTGTTGCAGAAATGAAAATCAAGTGATGTTAAAATGGCTGCAACCGATAGTCAGATCACAGTGGCAGCCGCACGCTGGGCTGAGGAGGGTAGTTATCTGCGCGAATTTGTCTCGAAACATCGCCTACCGGCTGTGGTTAAGATAATCAAGGGTCAGTATGGCGGCCTAGGGGTACCTACTTTGCCCAGCCCGGGCTTGCAGTCTACGGCGTTGCTCGTGTCAGCCGGAAAGCGCCAGAAAATCATCGCACAAGCAGTGAAGATCAAAGAGGGACGGAGGCTCGTGTGCGTGGGGCCACGATTGGTTGTTCCGGACACTTACGCCGGTTACTTCGAATTGCTGAGCGAGGAGGGAAGAGCGGTGCGATGCATCGAAAGTGTGGCGGAGTTGGCCCGCCGCCGACCTGAAGAGGGATGTCTCGTACGAGAAACTATTCGCGGGGTGCAAGCTAAGACTGAAACAAATGGGTCTGTTACGCCAGAGGGCGCCAGAACCATACCAGCAGGTAAATTAATCACACACACGTTCTATAACATTTCCCGAAAAGATGGTATTTTGTGTCTTGCTATGAATTTTGATTATCCGTAACGTTTCAGGTGAAATACTAGTCCCCACCGGCGACGCCACACTTCCTGGTTCCAAGGGTCGCTATCTGAAGTGCCTGGACAGCAAAGGCGACACTATCCTTTTGGGTATGGAACAGCGCGGTAAATTTTCTGCACTGGCCCGCGAGGACAATATCAGTGGGGTTCACACCGCCAAAAACCTTTTGAGCAAACGTCTGCCTCTCACTGTCAGATTAGTGCACGGTACAGCTCCCAGAGGCCTCAAAAGCCCCAACCACTTTGTACCCGAGCTCAGGCTTTTATCGGTTAGTCCTATCCCATAATAAAAATAACAGTAAAAATGACAAGACTTTAACAAAAGTTTTTGTAGTATCTTTATTCTTTTCAATGACGTACTATAATTTCCATCTACTTTATTTTTAGAGGCATGCATCTTGTAGAGATCTTGCCCTGTTTTTCGAAACCAACCATCATCAACAACGAAATTCTTTCACGTTCACTTAGTTCACCCGTAACAAAGTTTGAACAGCGATCTTAATAAGTACCTAATGTCACTATTGACTACATCTGACAATCAAAATTTGCAAAAACGATAGCAAACCCAATTACCTTTTCGGGTAGCCGTGACGAAAAATGTAAACAGTCGACTCTTATTTTTTTGTTTTATTCAACATTTAAAAAACAATCAATCGATCGTAGACCCACCAAACCATATATCATTGTAATCGTTTGAGAGAGAATCTGTTTTTCTTTTAAATGTTAAAACAGGGCGGTCCATCTAAAACAAAATGCCAACAACGCCGTATCTCTAAAAATAAACCTAGAGTATCAATGTTTGCATAAAATAATAGCACTATCTGTTATTTTTACTAGAATTTAAATACACTCCTACATTAATTAAATTCGATATCTCCCCAACTCTTCTTTTTAGAATTTCCACCCCTAACTATACCTACTTACTTTTGATTGTAAATTAAGCTACAAAACTTAAATTGAAAATGTAAAGCACATTCCAAAACAAGAAGAAAATATATATTAATGATATCCTATATTGAGGGTTTCCTGCCAGAAGGGCGTATCAACCTATGTACATACAACTTTCTGCCAGGTTAATCGAGGTAATAATTGTTCATACGACCAAGAAAAGTATTGTGTGGTGCTGTTATTGGTGTGGTAGATACGACCTTTTGTCGCGACAAACTTATGGTATTGGGTATCAAAGTTAGCTCATAAACCCAAAATGGCACTTTTTGTGGATACGTCCTTTTGGCAGGAAACCCTCGATATGATATACATGGTGTTATGTACAATAAATTCAACAGACAATTATTTGAGTGATTTCAAGACAAAAGGTCATATAAACATTGGTCCGCAGATGTTTCGTTTTCTTTCAAGATACAAGGTGTTAAACTTTTGCAAGAAAATTGCTATTTCGTAAATATCTTAAATATCCTTTACCCAATTTTGTTGTAATTTGGCAGTATTACTTGTAGTGGTCAGTTCAGTGGCATCCCGAGCGGTACCTTAACGAATATTTTCGACAAAAAAAGTACGCCACTGACTTTTTTGTAACTTTCCAACCCAATGACCAATGTTTATATGAACTTTTTGTCTTGAAATCGCTCAAATAATCGTCTGTTGAATTGATTGTACATACTTAATTAACACCCCGTATATCAAAACAAAAGGTTTCTATATTTATCGCGGAATTATTGTTTAAATTTATAAATTTCACAGACATCAATTTGGCACTAACTTTTGACAGATTTTCGAGGAAGAACACGTGTTCGCCCTGCCTCTCCAAAAGGAGACACAGAGCGTGACTGCGCTTCCCCTGGCTGCTCCGTTGAAATTGCTACGTACACGCAACGAAGAACAATTACGGGGTATGGCTGAATTCAGCCGACTGGTTGAAAAATGCACCAAACTGACGGGTGACGTAGTCGACAGGATCCAAGTGTTGGACGGAAAGTTGGGCGAGTCAAAGAAGCAGTCATCCACGCAAGAACTGAAAAATGGGTAGGCCTCACGTATACATTTATTTGCATATTTCAATTGTAAGGGCAGTACGACAACAAACAAATTATTATACAGGGTATTTCTGAAGGGAGGCTTGTAATATTAAGAACTGCCTGTTGTATCAAAAAAAATATCTTGACATCAAAATATGATTTATTAAAATATTCAAAAATTCCGATGAAATCGAGTGTTTTAGAAATTTTACTAGTTAATTTTATTCACAATAATTGTTCTTCCATTTCATTCCAACAACGAATTTAGTTTCAAATAATCTTATCCCAGAGATGGATAAATCGAAAATAACTGTAAAATAACTGAGTGGTGATGCCTTTATCATTCATTTGAAAACAAAAGCGTTTTTAGCATTCGGAGGATATCACCACTTGGTGGTAGCACTGAATGGCCTTTCTGAAAACAGCCTAATACTGTACCTTTCCCAAAAACAGTGTAAGGGATTTTTTTTAAAGTTATTTTTAAATACCGAGCGATCCAGAATTGATTGAAGCTGACGTAACACGTAAATGTTACCAAAGATATTAAAATTTACTTAGAGACATCTGTGCTTCCCGTGTGTGCCTGCTATTGTATTTATTTGTGTTCGCCGATTGTGTTTTTATTTGAATTTATCGTTAACCTTCTAAATAATCAGTGTTTTTCGACGCTTATCATCTGTTAATTGTTAGTTTTGTGGTGAGAAAGCAAATACTGATGGTTTCTTCGATATAAAGTAGGTATTCCAATTGTTTTGGTTGAGAAAATGGTCTTTTCGTTGGAAGACGATAAATTTATTGTAGAGGCCTACTTTCGGAGTGGTCAATGAGATGAAAATGAATGGAATTATTCAATCCATTCATGTTTTTTGGAATTCCAGGAAGAGTTTCCTAATCATGAAGCCGCATATTATTATAATATTTCTGCTCCGCATGTTCAGAGTTTGGTGACACGATTCAGAAATACTGCAGTGTTTGTAAAGGGAAGTCACCTGGAAAAAAGTGAGTCTTTTACATATCAGTACCGTAGATGCGGGTTACTTGAGCGCGTTGTGGTAACTTGAGACACAAAATCGTTTTCTCAGAAATGTTTTGCCCGCTCTCTATCAATCGAAAGTTGAGAAACAAAAAAGTACCTATGTATTCTGCAGGCTTCTCTGGCTTATTATGACCCATAATACTTCTAGCAAGTGCCCACTTATGCGAAAAAAAATATTGAAAAAAGGTGAGAATAATGTTTTTTTTTTAACTCTTACTACTTTCTCTTACCCTTGACAACTGGTTTGGGTTACCGAGTTACAACTTGTTGCATTTGATTTCCTAGTCATTCTGCTTAATTGTACCATAACCTCAACCTGGTGGATCATGGTTTCGATGGTGAAAAAAATATTAAACGGTGACGATGTCGGTTTTAGGGTTATTTGAGACAATGCCTAATAAGTATCGTAGAACGTTGGGTCAGCGGAAATATCGTGATTACACCAAATATACCTTGCAAAATGCCATAAATGAAGTAAGGAGTACAGTAGTAGTAGTACATGTCGATCAGAGGAGCTGCTGAAATATATAATATATAATGAAGATGAAAATAGTCCACAAGATAATGTGATAAATGCAACAAATGTGATACTAAATGAAACTCCTGATAAGACTGCATTCAAAAATTTAAATATTGGAGACTTTATAATAGCCGCAGTGAAATCCACAAAAGGCTGTAAGCGAAGATTTGCAGGAAAAATAATTTCCAACACTCCAGTAATGTGTTCATTTTTAAAAAAAGTACAAAAATGAAAAACACGTGAGAGGTGCAATAACTTTCAGTGAAGGACATTTACGTATTCTTAGAATCTAATTAATGTTACCTAATATTCGGTACCAAAGAATATTCATTTTTAGTTGTTATAGAGACAGAAATGTTAAGTTTTTTTAAATTTTGTACGTTTACATACCCTTATATGAATAAATAACTTTTTTAAAAACAATAAACCCGTCTCAAGTAACCTTTTCTTAACACATACTTGAAATAAATGTGTAAATACATAGGGTTTTTCGAGTAACCCGAAAGATAGGGTAGGTAACTTGAGACACCGACATTTTATTTTTTTTTGCCGAAAATATTGGAGTTAAGTTATAATTATTATGTGCAATCGATAGAGGGAGGTATTTTGCATAAATTCCTAATTTTTGCAAATAAATTAATTGCCCTTTAAATATTCCATAAACAATTTTGTTTAAAAGGTATACTCGAGTAACCCACATCTACGGTATTTAAAAATATTAATTATAGGAATCTCATACGGTTCAGTACACAGAGCTGTAAAAATATTACATTTACATCCATATAAAGTAAATCACTGTCAATGTTACCAACTACAATGAGTGAAAATAATAGGAGAGCGGCACACAAAAATAGCGGCACCGTCAATCATTCTGGATCTCTGTACAGTCTAAGATATGAGTGTTGTAAAAATTTGTCCCTTAGTGTTTTACATACTTTTCTCAATGTCAGTGGTTTTTGCATACTTAATTATTACATTGTATACAAAATTGTATTTGCAACAAAAAAAAAATCCTCTAGGTACATGTTTCTTGGAAATGAAAATTTTATAGTTATTCTCTATTTATTCAATTTATTGTCAATTTATTTTAGACTGCAAATAACAAGTACTGGAAAACTTCTCGTTTAGTGAATAAAATGGAAGAGAAAAATACCTTGTGTTAGGTGCACAATTATGGAAAACGCGTCGATTTTTACTGGACTGTTAAAATTATATTTATATAACAAAAATGCCAGACGTTAATAAAAAAGAGAAATTTTCAGTTTATAATATCTAATAATTTTAACTATTGATGTATAAACTTCCTGTACAAGTGTTGAATGAGAAGGCGAATGTGGTAATTTGAGAATTACAATAAATGGTTAAAATTATCCTCGTTTCTCTGAATAAAGCTTAGCGTCTCCAGTATTCTATACGGGATTATGAATCCCTTCTGGTGTGAATGCAATTCTTTTACGTAACTCTTCAGTTACCTGAACTTAGGTCTTCGAAATATTTGTCCCCATGTCCCCACAGGTAGAAATCACATGGATTTAGGTATGGTAATCGGTCGCACTGTAAGCTATAAATTTCCCATGTGCAAAATGGATGCATGTGGTTATATAGTCCTTTAAAATTAAAATTCATCTTTTGACGCCCTCTATGATATACAATTGTATATGAAGCTTCCTTCATTAAATAGCGATAGAATTTAAATCACTGTGATATAAATTTTCTAAACACAACTATTATTCTTTAAATAAAAAATTAATAAGGCTTGTCATATATAGTATTATTAAAATGTCACAGGTGCTTTGTATTTTATTCTCCATTTCAGGTACCAATTAAGACGCAGTGCATCCTCAGACTCGGCAAACCATCGTAATAAACATTCCCACCATAAACGAGATGAGAACAGAATTCCAGTCCACTCGAAGGATTATGATGAGATAGACCAAATATACGATTATGTACGCGGTTTCGCACCATTACCTAAAAATATCCGGTCACCATTTTCTGATCCTTCTCCATCAATAACAACATCCCACAGCTCCATTCCGTCTCATCCGGTCTCGGATCTGACCAAACCGGAGCCACCTCCCATAGAAACCATTCCGACAAAAAAGTTACAAGCTGAGAAGAGAAATAGAAAATCCGCTTCTTCCGTCATTAAAGAGACGCCGCCTAAAGCACACCCTCATGTGGAAAAAACTCCTCCCGGATTACCTAAGTTATATGTTAAAAATGGCCATTCACAACGAAGCAGGTTGCTGCGACAGAAGTCTGCATCGCCTATGAAGGAAACTCCTCCAAGTCCCATATCTAAATCTGGTTCTCCCCTCTTCAATATTCGGTACAAGTCTTTGACTAACCTCCAGCAAGCCATGGAACTAGACGGCACATTAGACTCCAGTAATTCCGGAGGCCGTGCATCGGGAGACTCGGGAGGCCAGAAACAACCAGAAAAGAGGTCCAGAAAGATTTCTAGACCTCGAAGTTTGACAAACTTGGTGTGGGAAATCAGGGAACATCCCGATATCTCTATGCCCGTCACAGAGAAAAAGAAGATTGATCCAGCGGCCATAATATATAAGAAACATTCGAAATATTCCGTCAACAGTCAGCGGCGTGGTACGCTTTATTTATAATTTTTACAATTTTTGGGAGGAGATGTACCCTCAGCTTAGCTGTTTGTGATTCTGTGTAGTGTAAGTTTTTAAGAAATTTTTTCGTTTTTAAGACTTGTGATTTTTAATTTTAGTGTATTTTTATTCAAATTGGACGGTTGATGGTAGCCCTTCAAAATGATTCCAAAAAGTATATACTCGTACACACACCGTCGTTGATAACGCAAAAGGGTGTAAGCACCAAAAGCGCTAGTTGAGTAATTTCTAATTTCTCGGGAAAGCAACGTAAAGAAAAATCGTTAATAGCGAATTTTTTGGTATGTGTGAATGTATGATGTATAGCGTAGTACTAATCGCGTAAAAACAGGTGAATATGTACGCTTTTATTACCTTATTTAAAAAGAGTCTGGTCGATTTTCTTTTTGTTGCTTTGTTGCAAATTTGCAGGATCAATGGTGATGTGTGTGCATGTACACTATATCGATATACTGTGCTTTTTGTTCAGCGTATTTAAATGTTTTGACTGAATATTTTGTTGTTGAATGTTTCATTGTTTTGTTGCTGTTTTCGCTGGAACAGTTTCAGTGAAAATTTGAGATATTCACAAAATAACTTAATAGGATGTGGTTATGATTTTGACTAAGGTAGTTTTTAATGGATACTTACCTGTACCAGTACTGCGGTCATAAAAAAATAAAGTAAGTAATATATTTGTGAATGTTCAATGGCTGATATTTATAAAAATAACGGAAAGGAATTCAAATTATTAAAATCTGAAAATTTGTTTATGGAAATATCAACTAGCTTAAACGGGGGCAAAGTTGCGTAATCGGGGGACCAACATTATGCCTCTAAAAAATCAAAGCCAACATGATTAGTTTTCGAAATATTTGAAAAAAAACGAAATTTTGGAAATCCGTTTTTGTTTCATTTCAGCCTTGTTTGAGGTGATATTGAAAAAAGAAGAACACTTTCTCATGGCCACTTTTTGCCCTCTATCGAATGGCATAATCAACTTAATTTTTTTAAATACTACCCTGGAACTTTTATTACATTTTTTGCAAACCTTCATGACTCCTAATATGTACTAGTGTACTGCCTCAACCCGAACCAGATTCAGACGTTTTGTCTCGAAAAATTCATCTCCAGTGTATTCGTTCCAAATTTATCTAAATTTTCTATTTAGATTTCTTTGTTTATTGAATTATCGTACACTGTGAAATCCATCTATTTAAACATTATTAGAATTTTATTCCCCTGTCCATAGTTATTTCTAGGCTTCCGGAGTGCTCAAAATTCAAACAAATTACGATCTTTTTTGTTCAGGATGTTCATACAAATACATCAGACGTGCTCTTTCACAGTTGCGGTTACAGATACCTGTAATAAATTCTGATAATATTACGCTGATCTTCATTTTCAACCTTTCCCAAAACGAAAATGTTCTTGAACATTTACTGGAATTTTTAAAAAAATATATATCATTGCCCCAGTCCTCCCATAATATACATGGTGTAACTTTGAGTGGGGGTCATATTTATACAGAGGCTTCCCTTGACCTTTAGAAACATGTATTAATAGTTTGTTTTTTTTGTCAAATTCCGTTGTAAAAACTTGCGCATGCACCACTCGCCGCGAGTTACTTTTGTTGAGTGTTGGATGTTCGCCACACAAACAGTGTACGTAACAAGTAACCTAGCAAAAGTAATCAGTAATGATAAATGAAATACACATATGTAAATAAATAGTCTGTTTACTCACATGATTTTTATAACACTTTTCTGAATTTGTTTCCGTCCAATAATGGCGAATTGGTATTCAAAACTCGCATAATCTCTTAAATGTGTAACCTGCCACTTATAACAATGTAGGCCTCAGGATACGGATATATCGTTTGGAATTTAATAATGAATTATTTTCTGTTTAATATAACTTCTAACTGGACGGGTCTCTCACTTCTTACAGACACTTAATATATCACCTGCGTCGTTGCTTCCCTCTGAATAACAACAGACATGAATCACCACAACCTGTTGATGGCTTTAAGCAATGAAAAATATTCAAATTTGCAGTTGGATGTACCGTCTCCAAATGCGTAACAACTGACCCCCTTTGCTTCATCACCGTTGACCCACAGTATCTCCCTTTACATGCACTGTAGGTTGCCTACAATTCGTGTAGTTGTAATACATAAATATTACAGTGACGGCGTGCACAAGAATTAAAGTGCATTTTAAAAAACTAATTATATTAGGGGAACACGTAGTATTACTCCTAAAAAAAAAACTGGCCCCCACTTAAAGTTACACAGTGTATATTTATATTTGTTTCGATAAAATTTTGAAGATACCCATGACTTGAGTTAATTTTTTTTACAATTGGTATATTTCATATTCTTAATGCACCATTTGAACGGACCACTGTAGTCCCGTTTAAATTACCATTATGTAGGTGTAATTTTTTAGTGCAGTTTTATTAATTTTTATATATTTCATTTGCAACGTTGTACAGAATAAAATGTTTTTCTTATTACACACGTTAAACGTACTTGGTGGAACTTTTGAAATTTGAGCAGTAAACACGATTGTTTGAAGGTGCTACCATCTCATCGTTTTGCCATATGTAATTAGGCAAGTTGCTGAGATGCTTATATTTCATCTGTGATGAAACGTTTTTTTGTACGTTATAATTTAGTTTTAGATTTTAAGAATTACTCTGTTGAGGAAATATATTTATTCCGACTTGCAAAGCCAAAAGTATGTGGACGTTATATGTATACAAAAAATATATCATTTGGAATTATTTTGTTCAAATTTCTCTGCGTGACGGCAAAAAAGCCCTTGCGCAGGTAAGCAGAGGTGGTGGAGGGTGTGTAGAAATCAAATTCATCAATATGAATCTGAAAAAAATATATAAAGTAAGTTTCAAAAAACTGCCACTGAATTCTACCAGTAGAAATATCTCTTGTTTTGTTTCTTTATGAAATTGTACGCTGTGTGATGTGTTCCAATGAAAGGTTGACCCTTTTCAGGGGGATGGATGTCTTTTGATATCAAAGTGATGTAACCCTCTCTCTAGTCTCTACTATTATACCAAATGGAAAATGGGTCAAATGACACCTCATTTGAAAGATTTTTTGTCTTTTGCACATCACACATTCTTTTTGAAAACATAGTTTTTGAGAAACTGCCGATTTCTTGTGAAGGTCAAGTAATATAATTTGTACAAATTAAAAAGAAATAACTTCACCTAACCTGATTGGAAAAAGAAAGATGTTAAAAAAGTTTTACTAATTACTAGAACATAAAAATGTTTTCTGTAATATAACTTTCTGATTATCTCTGATCCCTGTCTTATGCAGCCTTATTTTTGTAATTAAGTGGCAGGGGTCTGTACGGACGAATATGTGTATAATTATTTTTCATAGGGCGTGTCATTCATTAATATAACTGTTCTAAAGTAATTACCTTGATTATGTTTTTCAGTCAGTCGGGATCGAGGTATCCTAATGAAATCAATTGCATCACATTCACGAGCAACCCGAGTTGAATTGCGTGATGATCTTCTATCTCCATCAATTGCTGCAATTCGGGCAGACAGGATTTCACAGCACATAAGGCTATCGAACACATAAGATTTTGAACAGTTTAGGTGTTCCACAAAATTTGCAACGAAGACAAAATAAAAGATTTAGATATTTGTGAAATATTTTTTGACAGATACCATCATCTTATTTTTCTTAACATTATGAAGTTTGAAAATAGAACGTTTGCGCTAAATTAAAATTTAAATAGGTATTACTATAAAGAAAATTCAAATTTGTGAGATAAAAAAAAAGTCGATTGTGAAAAAAAAATGTGTTCTCCGTATATATCGCACGTCCAATTCAAAACTGTCTGATATCAAAATATTTCAATTTTAAAGGAGGTGCAAAAGAAAATTATTAGACATTTTTTCCAATTTATTATGGCTACACAAAAATATTATGTAGTTAGCGCCATTCTTCGAATAATTTTTTTCCAGTTTACAATAATATCTACTACTTATTTGGCAGGGAGAAATGTTAAATTTTGACTTGAGATCCTTTTCGAGGGGATGTGCGCAACCCTTTTTGGGATCCTAGGACCAGCAATCCTTATTTTAAATTTTTATTTTTTGTCAAATATGTAGCAAATGTTGGAAATTGCTCCCATGCTTGACTATCAGATTTTAATTTTTACTAGTCGCCACTGCTGTACATGTAATAGGAGGGTCAAGTTTTTTTTTTTTTTTGGAAAACACACTTCGACTACTTCTAAGATGCCTATAAATTATGTATGCTGTTGTATGTATTAATTTTTAGGTGCAAAATTTTTCTAAGGAAACTGTAAACAAAACTACATATGTATTTTGGTAATTAAAATTTATAGTTGATATGTCACATAAGGAACATGTATTTATTCAACAATTTGTAAAATATATAAAATAAATATAATCATGTTTTCGTTACCTTTTACCTTTCGTTCAGATTTTTATTATTATGCCAGTCTTAACATTAAAACTAAAGAATATATTTTCCAGTTTTCCTGTTCAAGATACGAGTAATTTTGCAGAAAATTGGTACTTTTGAAATGAATTCGTTGCGACTACTTTTATTGAGACACTCTCTATAACATCAGTAGATCTTATCACGTTCATATTGTTTGGCTTTCTCAGTATGACAAATAGAATGAGAACATCTAATAATTTTTCCATCAACTTGGAGTTACAATTCTGAATGTCCTTTTAAATTAAAATTAACCCACTTAACTCTACGTTAAGGGACGTAGGAACAAGTTACACTGTCAGTAAGTTTTTAAGAGATTATTTTTTGTATGTTTAAAAACTCCCCAAAACAGACGCGATACAAGGTACGTGCCTACAAAGCAATATCTTGTAGAAGTTAGTATTCACCCAGGCACGATAGTAGGTTTACTATATAGGGTTGCTCGTGACCTGGGCCTGGAGGTATCCCTCGTTGGCCTCTTAGTTTATTAATTTTTATTATATAATAGTACTCGAAAGAATCTGTTTATGGAAAACATAGAACAAAACCCACATACCAAATCGAAATTAAATAACTTCAGTATTCTTTACAATTTGAATCAACTTACTTTTTATCAGCAATATTTTAATATACATATTACATATGTACAATTACTGGTAAAAAAAATGCCCATTTTGAAAATAGCAAATGAATAAACTGATACACATCAAAGTTCAACTTAATTTGCTTTAAAATTACCACAAAATGTACGTGAACTGTTACTTGACTACAGAGCCCTTATCGCAGGACGCGAAAAACCCCGATCTGTCGCTAGTTGACTAGTTTCTAATAGTGAATAGCGTCACTTTAAATACTTTTTGTTTGTTTACTTTTAAATAATTTATGGAAATTAAAACATAAAAAATTTCTTGTGCGAAAAATGCCATTCAACCACATTTTGATTTATTTTTTGTTATTAACGTATATAAAATAATGAATCTATGGGAATATAACTATATTCATATTATACAGGGTGTTTCTCATAAGAACCGACGCAGAGCAGGGGCATGTAGGGGAACCCAAAATATGGTGACTTAACGCGAATTACCTTTATACTAAGCTGCACCCCTGAGAAGTTATAGACCTTGAAAGTGGGGTTTCAAATTTAGAAAAAAATCAATGTCTTGGTTATACTTGAACTTAGAAAAACCAAATTTGGTACCGCTTGGTGGGGAAAGCGACTCGGGCACGCGCTTAAATTTTGCTTGTCTAAGATGAAGTAAGCTATCTAAAACTTTCGGAAAAAATTCCCGTATTAAAGTATTCCTTCAGCTATAACTAACTGCCAAATTTCAAGTAAAAATACTGAATAGTTTCGA